GACAGGCTGGTTGTAATGAAGTTGATCATTGGATGGACTTCAGTACAGCCAGCCTGCCCACAGATGGACTGAATTTGGGCCTTTTCCTGCTGAACCATTGGAGATGCAATCCATCTATGGTTGAAACCACTTCTACTTCCAAACCTCATTCCCAGTTCCACCAGAAACAATGGACTCCCCAAAGTACTCTTCATTAGGAAGGGGAGCCCCTACTCATTCAGGTTGGGGGATGTTTGCAGGTCTTTTTGGAGTTTTGGCAAGGGTGATGGGGGCAGATGGGTGGGCCTGCAATATCGTGGCTCGTAGATGGAATTTCATAGCCTTCTCCCTCCACATGCTTTCAAATGTTTCTTTGAATCCACAACAAAAGATTTGCGCTCTTGTAAACTCTCGATCGTCTTCTATCTCAAGGAGCGATTATTCCAGTCCCAGGCGCAAATTTTTTTTTTTACTTGGAACTTCTAAATGATTCCAATACAAAACAGCAAAATTTCATCCAGTCCTGGATCTTAAAGGACTCGACCAGTTTCTGCGGGTGCAGAAGATCCTGCATACCGTCCAGCTGAGAGTGATCCTCTCTCTCCAAACAATTGTCTGGCTCTGAGGATTTGCTCAAAACATTGACAAATCCCTTGGTTCCCTTTCACCTGAGGGTCCCAGGAAAGATGGCTGCCTCCTTCCTTATGCCTTTCCATTTAGTTTCTACCTCATCTGCTTCAGAGGATTCAAGGGCAAGGACTTCCCGTCATTGCCCCGGCCTGGCCTAGGAGAACTTGGTACTCCCATGCAGTGAACATGTCAACAGATGAGTAATAGACTCTTCCAGGTCAACCTGACTTACTATGGAAAGGTCCGATCTTCCATCGAAGCCGGGGTCCTAAGGGATGGGGTGTCGGAGTCATTTCCATCCTGCTGAAGGCCAAGAGGGTATAGAACAGGACTTAGAAATCTGATTGCCGGGTGTGAGGCTCGGGGTTCCACATGTATGTGATGTTGTTTTCCCCGTATTCTGGCTTTTCTGTCCTCCACTGCCTCCAAAGCCTCCCCCCCCCCCCCGTAATTCACTAACCCCCTTCTGTCCTGCGCTGCCCCAAAGGCTTCCCCCCCGTATATCACTAACCCCCTTCTGTCCTCCGCTGCCTACAGAGCCTTCCCCCGTAATTCACTAACCCCCTTCTGTTCTCCGCTGCCTCCACAGCCTTCCCCCCCTGTAATTCACTAACCCCCTTCTGTCCTCCGCTGCCTCCACAGCCTCCCTGCCCCAAAGCTGTAATTCACTAACCCCCTTCCGTCCTCCGCTGCCTCCACAGCCTTCCCCCCTGTAATTCACTAACCCCCTTCCCTCCCTCCTCCGCTGCCTCCAGAGCCTTCCCCCCCGTAATTCACTAACCCCCTTCCGTCCTCCGCTGCCTCCAAAGCCTTCCCCCCCGTAATTCACCTAATTCACCCCCCTTCTGTCCTCCGCTGCCTCCAGAGCCTTCCCCCCGTAATTCACAAACCCCCTTCTGTCCTCCGCTGCCTCCAGAGCCTTCCCCCCCAATTCACAATTCCCCTTCCCTCCCGTCCTCCACTGCCTCCAGAGCCTTCCCCCCCCCCCGTAATTCACAAACCCCCTTCCATCCTCCAGAGCCTTCCCCCCCCGTAATTCACAAACCCCCTTCCATCCTCCGCTGCCTGCCTCCAGAGCCTTCCCCCCGTAATTCACAAATCCCCCTTCCGTCCTCCGCTGCCTGCCTCCAGAGCCCTTCCCCCTCCCCGTAATTCACAAACCCCCCCTAAACCCCCTTCCATCCTCCGCTGCCTCCAGAGCCTTCCCCCCCCCCCCCGTAATTCACTAACCCCCTTCTGTCCGCCTCCATCTCAATGGAACAATTTCTCTGGATTTTGCTATGTTCTAATAAAAGGGAATTTATATCTGACTGTAATTAGGAAACCATGGGAATTGTGGGTAATTGGGGATCAGTGAGCGCTCCTCACCTTGTCTCCATAGATCCGGATTGATCCCACGTTTGTGGCTCCTACGGCAGTAAGAGAGAAGAAGCCAAACTGCCACTGACCACTGAGCACAACGCGCTCATTCTGACAGAAGAGACCCGGCATCCAACGGGCAATGTTGGGACTCACTGACAGCAGAGTACCTGAAGAGGGACAGAGAGAGAGGAGGATGACCTATCGAGTAACACATGGCCACTTACCCACCTCCACGTCAACTGACCTACAACAGCAGCCAGAATCCCCCAGAATAAAGGAGAACTCCGCTTCTGTCAAGACTTCTGTCTACACTTTTCTATACTCTCAGCGGGTCCTTGCTACAATAAGGAGTTTTATTTGATGTTTATTAATAAATATAGATTTAATGTGTCGTGTAGATGGAAGTCAGGTACACATGGTTCATACAGGATGAGGAACACCATCTCCAGGAAGAAAGAGGTCCTTCTGTAGTCCTCATCACCCGGAGGTCCTTCTTTGTCTGTATGATGGTTCTCTGTAGTCCTCATCACCCGGAGGTCCTTCTTTGTCTGTATGATGGTTCTCTGTAGTCCTCATCACCCGGAGGTCCTTCTTTGTCTGTATGATGGGTCTCTGTAGTCCTCATCACCCGGAGGTCCTTCTTTGTCTGTATGATGGGTCTCTGTAGTCCTCATCACCCGGAGGTCCTTCTTTGTCTGTATGATGGTTCTCTGTAGTCCTCATCACCCGGAGGTCCTTTGGTCTGTATGATGGTTCTCTGTAGTCCTCATCACCCGGAGGTCCTTCTTTCCCGTATGATGGGTTCTCTGTAGTCCTCATCACCCGGAGATCCTTCTTTGTCTGTATGATGGTTCTCTGTAGTCCTCATCACCCGGAGGTCCTTCTTTGTCTGTATGATGGTTCTCTGTAGTCCTCATCACCCGGAGGTCCTTTGTCTGTATGATGGTTCTCTGTAGTCCTCATCACCCGGAGGTCCTTCTTCCGTAGGATGGTTTTCTGTATCTTCATCACCCGGAGGTCCTTCTTCTTCCAAATGTGGTTTTCTGTAGTCCTCATCACCCAGAGGTCCTTCTTCCGTAGGATGGTTTTCTATAGTCCTCATCACCCGGAGGTCCTTCTTTGTCTGTATGATGGTTCTCTGTAGTCCTCATCACCCGGAGGTCCTTCTTTGTCTGTATGATGGGTCTCTGTAGTCCTCATCACCCAAAGGTCCTTCTTCCGTATGATGGTTCTCTGTAGTCCTCATCACCCGGAGGTCCTTCTTTGTCTGTATGATGGTTCTCTGTAGTCCTCATCACCCGGAGGTCCTTCTTTGTCTGTATGATGGTTTTCTGTAATCCTCATCACCCGGAGGTCCTTCTTCTTCCAAATGATGGTTTTCTGTAGTCCTCATCACCCAGAGGTCCTTCTTCCGTAGGATGGTTTTCTGTAGTCCTCATCACCCAGAGGTCCTTCTTCCGTAGGATGGTTTTCTGTAATCCTCATCACCCGGAGGTCCTTCTTCTTCCAAATGATGGTTTTCTGTAGTCCTCATCACCCAGAGGTCCTTCTTCCGTAGGATGGTTTTCTGTAATCCTCATCACCCAGAGGTCCTTCTTCTTCCAAATGATGGTTTTCTGTAGTCCTCATCACCCAGAGGTCCTTTCTTCTTCCTCCGTAGGATGGTTTTCTATAGTCCTCATCACCCAGAGGTCCTTCTTCCGTAGGATGGTTTTCTGTAATCCTCATCACCCGGAGGTCCTTCTTCTTCCAAATGATGGTTTTCTGTAGTCCTCATCACCCAGAGGTCCTTCTTCCGTAGGATGGTTTTCTATAGTCCTCATCACCCAGAGGTCCTTCTTCCGTGTGATGGTTTTCTTTAGTCCTCTATGTCAGCTATTTTCTGGCCCTCAAACAGTGTGGCCCCTGGTACACGTGTTTCCTGTGAGTCTGACATGCCCCCTGTAACCCTTTTTTGGGCAGTAATGGAGCTCCCATGATCATCCCCCCACAACCCTTCTGTATAGAATTGTGTGGTGACTGTAGCGCCCCCCTTTCATGTATAAGCCCAGATCCCCCAGGACAACACCTTCAGCTTCCGGTCTCCCAGAAGGCCGGTACTATCTGTATTCAGGGCTCATAGATGGTCACCCATTTGTATCCATGAAGAAGGAGCCCAGCCTTGAGGTGGCGCTGTCCTGATACTGGTGCCTGTGCCGTGGTATATATATATCGCACACAGGAGGTATATACTATATCAGATCCCAACTCACTCCGTGACCGGCCAACTACCAACATAGCCTACAGACGTCCTCTAAATGACCATTTCTGTGCCTGTTCTCAGGAACGATGTAGGGTGGCACAGGATTTGGCCAGGGGCAGGAAAGTGTGACAATGATGGAGATGTCAGTGATGGAGAATATAAGAGTGGTCACAATACCTGGAAAGTGTCTCCTGTGCTGGATGCTCCAGTCTGTTGGTGAATGAAATCGGTGATAATCTCCAGGAGCCAGATAAATGACGTGATGGAAGAGGCGGTTCGCAGGACGCACACCCAACTGCCGCAGGAACAGCAGACCTACAAAACATGGATGAGGGAAGAGAGGAACAAGGTGGAATACAGGGAGACTCTGCAGGAGGAGACACAGTTACAGGGCTCAGGAGGGACAGACTCTGCAGGAGGAGACAGGTTACAGGGCTCAGGAGGGACAGACTCTGCAGAGGAGACACGGTTACAGGGCTCAGGAGGGACAGACTCTGCACAGACTCTGCAGGAGGAGACACGGTTACAGGGCTCAGGAGCAGGACAGACAGACTGCAGGAGGAGACACGGTTACAGGGCTCAGGAGGGACAGACTCTGCAGGAGGAGACACGACAGGGCTCAGGAGGGACAGACTCTGCAGGACAACGGTTACAGGGCTCTGTCTCTGCAGGAGGAGACACGGTTACAGGGCTCAGGAGGGGACAGACTCTGCAGGACAAGGACATTTCCTGGGAAAATCATGGATTGTGGAGAGGAGATCTTCCACCTGGGAATGTCTTTGCTCTCCTACTCACCCACGTTGGCCGGTTCTCTCCAGTCCTGGGGACCCAGGAAGTTCTCCAGCGAATAGGTTATTCCTTTCACCTGCTCGATCTGTGAGCCCCGAGTCCGGCCGCAGTGCAAGATCCGCCCATCACAGGGACTGACCTACAGGAGGTATGGAAATAGACTCAGCATGACCATGTGAAGATGGATTTATGGGACATCTAGATCTGCCACGGGGCCAACTAAGCTCCAGATGTGCAGGGGATGGGCACCACACGGAGCACAGATGCAGACTATTACGGATAGCTGGGGTGCTCTCAGACTTACTGAGAAGGTGTCCCGGGAAGTGAGAAGGACATCAGATTCTATCAGTCTGTAGTCAGGTTGGTCCTCTTCCATGCTGTGAAGTCACAGACCACCATTATGGCGGGGGACCGTTATGTGAGATACGTGGCATGTGAAGATGAGTGAAGACATGAACAGGGACGTACCGCGTTGTGGACGGAGATGACTCTGGCTGTGGACTTTAGTGGACGTCGGAAAAGCTCCCCCAGATTCTTGTAGCGGTTCAGGTCTTCTATTTCGGCTTCTGCCATGTTGACAGAGAAGGCCCACACATACATGGAGAGGAGGGGACGCCGCAACCAGCGAGGCAGGCTGACCTCATTGACTAGGCCCCAAAGACGAGAGAGAAGGCGAGTTGGAGCTCTACTGTAGACTGCCTGTTCAAAGGGAAACCAAACCAGATATATGAACCAGTCATCACACTTCCATTGCTGGAATGTCATCAATGGGCAACATCAGGGGTGGGTGGAGGAAGGACAGAGGAGAGCAGAGGGACCAGATTTTACCTGCTCCCTACTGGAACCCACAGGAGACCATGGGAAACATCAGCACACCTGAAAGATGGACTCCAATGGTGCAGGATCCAAGTGTCAGAATATTGAAGTACAAGGAGACATCGTATCTACCACCAGACCATCTCTGCTGCCTTCAGTGTTCCTGCCCCCCCCAGGCTGACCTACCACCAGACCATCTATCTGATGCCTTCTCTGTTCCTGCCCCCCCCCCTCCAGGCTGACCTACCACCAGACCATCTCTCTGCTGCCCTCTCTGTTCCTGCCCCCCCCCCCCCCCCCCTGCCCCCCCCCCACAGGCTGACCTACCACCAGACCATCTCTGCTGCCTTCACTGTTCCTGCCCCCCCCCCCCCCAGGCTGACCTACCACCAGACCATCTATCTGATGCCTTCTCTGTTCCTGCCCCCCCCCAGGCTGACCTACCACCAGACCATCTCTGCTGCCTTCACTGTTCCTGCCCCCCCAGGCTGACCTACCACCAGACCATCTCTCTGCTGCCTTCTCTGTTCCTGCCCCCCCAGGCTGACCTACCACCAGACCATCTCTGCTGCCTTCACTGTTCCTGCCCCCCCCCCCCCCCAGGCTGACCTACCACCAGACCATCTATCTGATGCCTTCTCTGTTCCTGCCCCCCCCCAGGCTGACCTACCACCAGACCATCTCTCTGCTGCCTTCTCTGTTCCTGCCCCCCCAGGCTCACCTACCACCAGACCATCTCTGCTGCCTTCACTGTTCCTGCCCCCCCCAGGCCTGACCTACCACCAGACCATCTATCTGCTGCCTTCTCTGTTCCTGCCCCCCCAGGCTGACCTACCACCAGACCATCTCTGCTGCCTTCTCTGTTCCTGCCCCCCCCCCCCAGGCTGACCTACCACCAGACCATCTATCTGATGCCTTCTCTGTTCCTGCCCCCCCCCCCCCCCAGGCTGACCTACCACCAGACCATCTCTGCTGCCTTCACTGTTCCTGCCCCCCCCCCAGGCTGACCTACCACCAGACCATCTATCTGATGCCTTCTCTGTTCCTGCCCCCCCAGGCTGACCTACCACCAGACCATCTCTGCTGCCTTCACTGTTCCTGCCCCCCCCCCCCCAGGCTGACCTACCACCAGACCATCTATCTGATGCCTTCTCTGTTCCTGCCCCCCCCCCAGGCTGACCTACCACCAGACCATCTCTCTGCTGCCTTCTCTGTTCCTGCCCCCCCCCCCCCCCAGGCTGACCTACCACCAGACCATCTCTGCTGCCTTCACTGTTCCTGCCTCCCCCCCCCCAGGCTGACCTACCACCAGACCATCTATCTGATGCCTTCTCTGTTCCTGCCCCCCCCCCCCCCCAGGCTGACCTACCACCAGACCATCTCTGCTGCCTTCACTGTTCCTGCCTCCCCCCCAGGCTGACCTACCAACAGACCATCTATCTGATGCCTTCTCTGTTCCTGCCCCCCCCCCCCCCCCAGGCTGACCTACCACCAGACCATCTCTGCTGCCTTCACTGTTCCTGCCTCCCCCCCAGGCTGACCTACCAACAGACCATCTATCTGATGCCTTCTCTGTTCCTTCCCCCCCCCCCCAGGCTGACCTACCACCAGACCATCTCTCTGCTGCCTTCACTGTTCCTGCCCCCCCCCAGGCTGACCTACCACCAGACCATCTCTGCTGCCTTCTCTGTTCCTGCCCCCCCAGGCTGACCTACCACCAGACCATCTATCTGCTGCCTTTTCTGTTCCTGCCCCCCAGGCTGACCTACCACCAGACCATCTATCTGCTGCCTTTTCTGTTCCTGCCCCCCCAGGCTGACCTACCACCAGACCATCTATCTGATGCCTTTTCTGTTCCTGCCCCCCCAGGCTGACCTACCACCAGACCATCTCTCTGCTGCCTTCTCTGTTCCTGCCCCCCCCCCCCCCCCTCAGGCTGACCTACTACCAGACCATCTCTCTGCTGCCTTCTCTTCCTGTCCCCCCCCCCCCCCAGACTGACTTACCACCAGACCATCTCTGCTGCCTTCACTGTTCCTGCCCCCCCCCAGACTGACCTACCACCAGACCATCTCTCTGCTGCCTTCTCTGTTCCTGCCCCCCCCCAGGCTGACCTACTACCAGACCATCTCTCTGCTGCCTTCTCTTCCTGCCCCCCCCCCCCCCCCCAGACTGACCTACCACCAGACCATCTCTCTGCTGCCTTCTCTTCCTGTCCCCCCCCCCCCAGACTGACTTACCACCAGACCATCTCTGCTGCCTTCACTGTTCCTGCCCCCCCCCCCCCCCCCCCCCAGGCTGACCTACCACCAGACCATCAATCTGCTGCCTTCTCTGTTCCTGCCCCCCCCCAGGCTGACCTACCACCAGACCATCTCTGCTGCCTTCTCTGCTCCTGCCCCCCCCCCCCTCATCAGGCTGACCTACCACCAGACCATCTCTCTGCTGCCTTCACTGTTCCTGCCCCCCCCAGACTGACCTACCACCAGACCATCTCTCTGCTGCCTTCTCTGTTCCTGCCCCCCCAGGCTGACCTACTACCAGACCATCTCTCTGCTGCCTTCTCTTCCTGCCCCCCCCCCCCCCCCCCCCAGACTGACCTACCACCAGACCATCTCTCTGCTGCCTTCTCTGTTCCTGCCCCCCCCCCAGACTGACCTACCACCAGACCATCTCTCTGCTGCCTTCTCTTCCTGCCCCCCCCAGACTGACCTACCACCAGACCATCTCTCTGCTGCCTTCTCTTCCTGCCCCCCCAGACTGACCTACCACCAGACCATCTCTCTGCTGCCTTCTCTTCCTGCCCCCCCCAGACTGACCTACCACCAGACCATCTCTCTGCTGCCTTCTCTTCCTGCCCCCCCCAGACTGACCTACCACCAGACCATCTCTCTGCTGCCTTCTCTTCCTGCCCCCCCCAGACTGACCTACCACCAGACCATCTCTCTGCTGCCTTCTCTTCCTGCCCCCCCCAGGCTGACCTACCACCAGACCATCTCTCTGCTGCCTTCTCTTCCTGCCCCCCCCAGACTGACCTACCACCAGACCATCTCTCTGCTGCCTTCTCTTCCTGCCCCCCCCAGACTGACCTACCACCAGACCATCTCTCTGCTGCCTTCTCTTCCTGCCCCCCCCAGGCTGACCTACCACCAGACCATCTCTCTGCTGCCTTCTCTGCTCCTGCCCCCCCCCAGGCTGACCTACCACCAGACCATCTCTCTGCTGCCTTCTCTTCCTGCCCCCCCCAGACTGACCTACCACCAGACCATCTCTCTGCTGCCTTCTCTTCCTGCCCCCCCAGACTGACCTACCACCAGACCATCTCTCTGCTGCCTTCTCTTCCTGCCCCCCCCAGACTGACCTACCACCAGACCATCTCTCTGCTGCCTTCTCTTCCTGCCCCCCCCAGACTGACCTACCACCAGACCATCTCTCTGCTGCCTTCTCTTCCTGCCCCCCCCAGACTGACCTACCACCAGACCATCTCTCTGCTGCCTTCTCTTCCTGCCCCCCCCAGGCTGACCTACCACCAGACCATCTCTCTGCTGCCTTCTCTTCCTGCCCCCCCCAGACTGACCTACCACCAGACCATCTCTCTGCTGCCTTCTCTTCTGCCCCCCCCCCCAGACTGACCTACCACCAGACCATCTCTCTGCTGCCTTCTCTTCCTGCCCCCCCCAGGCTGACCTACCACCAGACCATCTCTCTGCTGCCTTCTCTGCTCCTGCCCCCCCCCCAGGCTGACCTACCACCAGACCATCTCTCTGCTGCCTTCTCTTCCTGCCCCCCCCAGGCTGACCTACCACCAGACCATCTTGCAGCTATGCACAATAAACACTGTAGGATCCCCAGTGACACCATGTTCTGCCCTCATCACACTCACCTTGCTGACTCGGCTAGTTGGTGGGAAACCTGCTTTTGCCAAAGGTCTCAGAAGCTGCAAAGAGCGTTCTCTCAGGAAAGATGGCGGCAACTGTCCAATCCGTCTTCTTATAGAAAGCCGAGGAACGGACAACCTGAGAGGACAGGACAGAGGAGAGGACTGTGAGAGTATGAGGGAAGGAGGAGGAGAGGACAGCGAGGGTACGAGGGAAGGAGGAGGAGAGGACAGCGAGGGTACGAGGGAAGGAGGAGGAGAGGACAGCGAGGGTACGAGGGAAGGAGGAGGAGAGGACAGCGAGGGTACAATGGAGGGAGGAGGAGAGGACTGTGAGGGTACGAGGGAAGGAAGAGGAGAGGACTGTGAGGGTACAAGTGAAGGAGGAGGAGAGGACAGCGAGGGTACGAGGGAAGGAGGAGGAGAGGACAGCGAGGGTACGAGGGAAGGAGGAGGAGAGGACAGCGAGGGTACGAGGGAAGGAGGAGGAGAGGACAGCGAGGGTACAATGGAGGGAGGAGGAGAGGACTGTGAGGGTACGAGGGAAGGAAGAGGAGAGGACTGTGAGGGTACAAGTGAAGGAGGAGGAGAGGACAGTGAGGGTACGAGGGAAGGAGGAGGAGAGGACAGCGAGGGTACGAGGGAAGGAGGAGGAGAGGACAGCGAGGGTACAATGGAGGGAGGAGAGGACAGCGAGGGTACGAGGGAAGGAGGAGGAGAGGGACAGCGAGGGTACGAGGGAAGGAGGAGGAGGAGAGGACAGCGAGGGTACGAGGGAAGGAGGAGGAGAGGACAGCGAGGGTACGAGGGAAGGAGGAGGAGAGGACAGCGAGGGTACAATGGAGGGAGGAGGAGAGGACAGCGAGGGTATGAGGGAAGGAAGAGGAGGAGGACAGCGAGGGTACGAGGGAGGAGGAGAGGACTGCGAGGGTACAATGGAGGGAGGAGGAGAGGACAGCGAAGGTACGAGGGAAGGAAGAGAAGAGGACAGCGAGGGTACGAGGGAAGGAAGAGGAGAGGACAGCGAGGGTACAAGGGAAGGAGGAGGGAGAGGACAGCAAGGATACGAGGGAAGGAGGAGGAGAGGACAGCGAGGGAAGGAGGAGGAGAGGAGGACAGGAGGGAAGGAGGAGGAGGAGGACAGCGAGGGAAGGAGGAGGAGAAGGACAGCGAGGGAAGGAGGAGGAGAGGACAGCAAGGGTACGAGGGAAGGAGGAGGAGAGGACAGCGAGGGAAGGAGGAGAGGACAGCGAGGGAGGAGGAAGGAGGAGGAGAGGACAGAGAGGGAAGGAGGAGGAGAGGAGGAGCGAGGGTACGAGGGAAGGAGGAGGAGAGGACAGCGAGGGTACGAGGGAAGGAGGAGGAGAGGACAGCGAGGGAAGGAGGAGGAGAGGACAGCGAGGGAAGGGAGGAGGAGAGGACAGCGAGGGAAGGAGGAGAGAGGACAGCGAGGGAAGGAGGAGAGGACAGAAGAGGGAAGGAGGAGGAGGAGGAGGACAGCGAGGGGAAGGAGGAGGAGGAGGACAGCGAGGGTACGAGGGGGAAGGAGGAGGAGAGGACAGCGAGGGTACGAGGGAAGGAGGAGGAGAGGACAGCGAGGGAAGGAGAAGGAGAGGACAGCGAGGGTACGAGGGAAGGAGGAGGAGAGGACAGCGAGGGAAGGAGGAGGAGAGGACAGCGAGGGTACATTGGAGGGAGGAGGAGAGGACAGCGAGGGTACGAGGGAAGGAGGAGGAGAGGACAGCGAGGGTACGAGGGAAGGAGGAGGAGAGGAGGACAGCGAGGGAAGGGAGGAGGAGAGGACAGCGAGGGAAGGAGGAGGAGAGGACAGCGAGGGAAGGAGGAGGAGAGGACAGGCGAGGGAAGGAGGGGAGGAGAGGACAGCGAGGGTACGAGGGAAGGAGGAGGAGAGGACAGCGAGGGGGGAGGAGGAGGACAGGAGGGAGGAAGGAGGAGGAGAGGACAGCGAGGGAAGGAGGAGGAGAGGACAGCGAGGGTACGAGGGAAGGAGGAGGAGAGGACAGCGAGGGTACGAGGGAAGGAGGAGGAGAGGACAGCGAGGGAAGGAGAAGGAGAGGACAACGAGGGTACAAGGGAAGGAGGAGGAGGAGGAGGCGAGGGAAGGAGGAGGAGAGGACAGGAGAGGGTACAGAGGCGGAGGGAGGAGGAGAGGACAGCGAGGGTACGAGGGAAGGAGGAGGAGGAGGACAGCGAGGAGAGGTACAAGGGAAGGAGGAGGAGAGGACTGTGAGGGTACAATGGAGGGGGAGAGGAGAGGGGAAATGGGAGGGTGTGAGGGTAGAGGGAAGAAGGAAGGAGAGGGTACGAGGAAGAAGGAGAGGGGACAGCGAGGGAAGGGAAGGGAAGGGGACATGTGGGGGTATTAAGAAGGTTCCGGTAGTGGAGGGGCTCTACTACTCTCCAGAGAACTAAAGGAACCTTCTTAATACCCCCACATGTCCCTCTTCCCTTCCCTCGTACCCTCGCTGTCCTCTCCTCCTCCTTCCCTCGCTGTCCTCTCCTCCCTCCTTCCCTAAGGGTTTCGGTAGTGGAGGGGCTCTAGAAGGTTTCGCTAGTGGAGGGGCTCTAGAAGGTTCCGGTACTGGAGGGGCTTTAGAAGGTTCCGGTAGTGAAGGGGTTCTAGAAGGTTCCGGTACTGGAGGGGGACTCTAGAAGGTTTCCGATAGTGGAGGGGGCTCTAGAAGAAGTTTCGGTATTGGAAGGGAGGAGGCTAGAAGTTTCCGATATTGGAGGGGCTCTAGAAGGTTCCGGTACTGGAGGGGCTCTAGAAGGTTCCGGTACTGGAGGGGCTCTAGAAGGTTCCGGTAGTGAAGGGGTTCTAGAAGGTTCCGGTAGTGGAGGGGCTCTAGAAGGTTCTGGTACTGGAGTGGCTCTAGAAGGTTCTGGTACTGGAGGGGCTCTAGAAGAGTTCTGGTACTGGAGGGGCTCTAGAAGGAAACGGTACTGGAGGGGCTCTAGAAGGTTCCGGTATGGAAGAGGAAGGGTTCCGGGGGGCTTGGGAGTTCTAGGTTGGTAAGGAGGGGGGGGAAAGAGGAGAAGGTACTGGAGGGGGGAGAAGGTTCCGAAAGGGAAGAGATGTGGGGCTTGAAGTAAGTGGAGGAGACGTACCACCTCTGGGTTCTCTGACCTCCACTCCCCGGGTGACTGGAAGCTTTACACATCCTCCGGATCAGATCAGATCCTGGAAAGGGAACCAGAGGAGAGATCACAACCAGAACAGAACAAAGGAACAAAGGAGGGACAACCAAAGGAGAAGGAAAAACGATGTAACACCCGGGACACAATGTAACACCCGGGGGACACAATGTAACAGGGGAGACACAATGTAACACCCGAGACACAAAGTAACACCCGGGACACAATGTAACACCCGAGACACAATGTAACACTTGGGACACAATGTAACACCCGGGACACAATGTAACACCCGAGACACAATGTAACACCCGAGACACAATGTAACACCCGAGACACAATGTAACACTTGGGACACAATGTAACACCCGAGACACAATGTAAACCCGGGACACAATGGGAACAGAAGGAGACAGACAATGTAACACCCAGGACACAATGTAACCCACCCAGGACACAATGTAACACCCGAGAACAATGTAACAGAGACCCGTAGGGACACAATGTAAACACTTGGGACACAATGTAACACTTGGGACACAATGTAAGGACTTGGGACACAAAGTAACACCCGAGACACAATGTAACACCCGAGACACAATGTAACACCCGGGACACAATGTAACACTTGGGACACAATGTAACACCCCGAGACACAATGTAACACCCGGGACACAATGTAACACCCGAGACACAATGTAACACTTGGGACACAATGGGGAAAAACCCGAGACACAATGTAACAGAGGGGCATTGCTACACGTGATACAATATTGCACATGGGAGAGATGGGAATAGAATAGAGTGTTACACAACTTTGACACAATGTAACGCGTAGTCGCACACAATGGGGGGTAGTCGCACACAATGTAACGTGTAGTCGCACACAATGTAACGCACACTTGGACACAATGTAACGCGTAGTCGCACACAATGTAACGCACACAATGGGGAAGACACAATGTAACGCGTAGGAGGAGGCACACAATGTAACGCGTAGTCGCACGCTATGTAACGCACAGGAAAGAAGAGGACACAATGTAATGCGTAGTCGCACACAATGTAACGCACACAATGTAAAGCACGTAACGCGTAGTCGCACACAACGTCGCACTCCCAGTCTTTGTCTCCGGCTCTCCCAGCTCTCACATCTCTGTATATTGGGAAAGAAGGTGAGCTCCTCAGCTGAGATGGGGAAAGCCAATCAGAGGCGAGGGAAGTGATGACGGGGCGGACTCTGACACCAGGGAAGACTCTTCCTTGTCGGTTGAGACATTTAAAGTGACACCAAAATCCTGCAGAGGATGGAGAACGAGGAGCTGAGGTCACCACTTCCTCCCATACTGAACACTGCACAGCACTTCCCTTTTCTGCTTCGTTGTGGGGGAGGGGGGGGACCTGACTGCTGAATAGTGCAGACACATGGCAAGCTGGAGGGGGGGGAGAGAGAAAAAAGGGGGAAAGTCATGGGGACCCTGGAGGGATGAGGAGGACCCCCATTACCCCCCCCCCACCCCACCCTAGGGGAGAGGGGTAAGGTGACTGGTATAAAGAGTGTGAGGAGGGGGAGGAGAGAAGAGAGAGATGGAGAGGAGAGAAGAAGAGAGAGAGAGAGGGGAGGAGAGAGAGAGAGAAGGGGGGAAGAGAGAGAGAGAAGAAGAGAGAAGGAGGAGAGGGAAGAGAAAGAAGAGGAGAAGAAAGCTGGAGGAGGGGAGGGGAGAGGAGAGAGGGAGGAGGGGAGAGGAGAGAGAGGAGGAGAGGAGAGAGAAAAAGAGAAAGAGGGGAGAGGGGAGAGAGGAGAGAGCTGGAGGAGGAGAAGATGAGAGAGATGGAGGAGAGGAGAGAAGAAGAGAGAGATGGAGGAGAGGAGAGAAGAAGAAAGAGAAGAGGAGAGGAGAAGAGAGAGAGAAGAGAGAGAGGAGGAAGAGAAAGACGGAGGAGAAGAGAAGAGAAAGACGGAGGAGGGGAGAGGAGAGAGCTGGAGGAGGGGAGAGGAGAGAGCTGGAGGAGGGGAGAGAGGGAAAAAAGAAAGATGGAGGAGGGGAGAGGAGAGAGCTGAAGGAGGGGGATGAGAGAGAGAGAGAGAAGGAGAGAGATGAGAGATGGAGGAGAGGAAAAGAAAAAGCTGGAGGAGGGGAGAGGGAGAGAGATGGAGGAGGAGGAGGAAGGAAAAAAGAAAGCTGGAGGAGGGGGAGAGAGAGAGAGAGGAGGAGGGGAGGAGGAGAAGAGAGAGATGGAGGGAAGGAAAAGGAGGGAAGAGAGGATGGAGGAGGGGAGAGGAGAAGAGAGAGAAGGAGGGGGGGAGAGGAGAAAGGAGAGGGAAGGAGGGGAGAGGAGAAGAGAGAGGATGGAGGAGGGGGAAGGAGAGAGAGAGAAGGAGGGGGGAGAGAGAGAGAGAGATGGAGGAGGGGAGAGGAGAAAGAGAGAGATGAGGAGGGGAGAGAGATGGAGGAGGTAAGAGAGAGGAGAGGAACGGGAGGAAAGGAGAGGGGAGGGAGAGGAGAAGAGAAAGATGGAGGAGGGGAGGAGGAGAGGATGGAGGAGGGGAAGAGGGAGAGAGATGGAAGAGGGGAGAGGAGAGAGATGGAGGAGGGAAGAGGAGAAAGATGGAGGAGGGGAGAGAGGGGAGAAGGAGGAAAAGGGAGATGAGAAAGATGGAGGAGGGGGAGAGGAGAGAGATGGAGGAGGGGAAGGGGAAAGGAGGGGAAAGGAGAGGATAAGAGAAAGATGGAGGAAAGGTAGAGAAGATAGAGATGGAGGAGAGAAGAGGAAGATGGAGGAAAGGGAGAGAAGAGAGAGATGGAGGAGAGGAAAAGAGAAAGCTGGAGGAGGGGAGAGGAGAGGAAAAAGGAGAGAAAAGCTGGAGGAGGGGAGGGAGAGAGATGGAGGGAGGGGAGAGGAGGAGAGAGATGGAGGAGGGGAGGGGAGATGAGAGAGATGAGGAGAGAGAGAGGAGAAGAGAGAAAAGGAGGAGGGGAGAGGAGATGAGAGAGATGAGGAGAGGAGAAGAGAAGAAAAGAGGAAGAGGGGAGAGAGAGGAGGGGAGAGGAGAGAGAGAGATGGAGGAGGGGAGGGGGAGAAGGAGAGAGATGGAGGAGGGGGAGAGGAGAATAGAGAGATGAAGGAGGGAAGGGGAGAGGAGAGGAACGGCAGGAGAGGGAAGGGAGGGAAGAGAAAGGATGGAGGAGGGGAGAGGAGAGAGATGAAGAGAAGGGGAGAGGAGAAAGATGGAGGAGGGGAGAGGAGAGAGATGAAGGAGGGGAGAGAGAGAGAAGAAGGAGGAGGGGGGAGAGGAGAAAGAAAAGGAGGGGAGAGGAGAAAGATGGAGGAGATTAGAGGAGAGAGATGGAGGAGAGGGAGAGGAGATGAGAGAGATGGAGGAGAGGAGAAGAGAAAGATCGAGGAGGGGAGAGGAGAGAGATGGAGGAGGGGAGAGGAGAAGAGAAAGATGGAGGAGAGGGAGAGAAGAGAAAGATGGAGGAGGGGAGAGGAGAAAGATGGAGGAGGGAGAGGAGAGAGATGGAGAGGAAGATTAGAGGAGAGAGAGGAGGAGAGGGAGAGGAGATGAGAGAGATGGAGGAGAGGAGAAGAGAAAGATCGAGGAGGGGAGAGGAGAGAGATGGAGGAGGGGAGAGGAGAAGAGAAAGATGGAGGAGAGGGAGAGAAGAGAAAGATGGAGGAGGGGAGAGGAGAGAGATGGAGGAGGGGAGAGGGAAGTGATGGAGGAGGAATGGGAGAAGCAAAGAGGGGAGGGGAGAGAGAGTGGAGGAAAAAGGAGAGGGGAGGGGATAGGAGATGGAAGGGGAGAAGAAAGGGCAGGGGATGGAGGAGGAAAGGAAGAAGCAGAGAGGGGAGGGAGAGGAGAGAGATGGAGGAGGTAAGAGAGAGGAGAGGAACGGGAGGAGGAAAGGGGAGGGAGAGGAGAGGAGGGAGAGGAGAAGAATGAAAGATGGAGGAGGGGAGTGGAGAGAGATGGAGGAGGGGGAGAGGGAAAGTGATGGAGGAGGAGTGGGAGAAGAGAGGAATGGAGGAGGAAAGGGAGAGGAGAGTTGAGGGATGGAGGAGGAATGGAGAGAGGAGAGGAAACGGGAGAAGAGGGGGAAGGGATGGAGGAGGATGGAGGAAGCAGAGAGAGAAAGGGAGAGGAATGGAGGAGGAAAGGGAGAGGAGAGGGAAGGGATGGAGAAGGAATGGAAGAAGCAGAGAGGGGAGGGAGAGGAGACAGAAGAGAGAGGAGACGGAAGGGAGAGCAGAGAGATGGAGGAGGTAAGAGAGAGGAGAGGAACAGGAGGAGAGGGGAGGGGAGGGATGGAGGAGGTAAGAGAGGAGAGGAGCAGGAGGAGAGGAGAGGGGAGGGATGGAGGAGGTAAGAGAGGAGAGGACTGAGAAGCCCCTCGTCTCTTCATGTGGCAGAGAAATCCGTCACTCCTGATGCCTCCACATTGCTCCCCCGGTGGAAGGTGGTTATTACACCCTGAAGAAGCGACGGTTGTCGTGAATGGTCGGCCATTCCCTGCAGTTTTGGTTGCTCCTCACCCCTCCACAGGATTACTCTGGTGGCCATTTCAGGCTGTATCACTGGTGGTCTCCTTACATGTATGGGGGGCTCTGGGACATTCTTTGGGGTACATTGTAGAATATTGGATAGAAATCGGTCTTCATACGATGTGATGTTTCGATCTCATTTCTTCGTGTATCTGGTCTCTGTGCCTATAAAGTCCACTTACACCATTTTCTTTCTAGTTTATATTAGGGCGTGGCACTTTTCTAGTTACTGGGCGTGGCCTCATATCGCCCGAGGGTCACCCCACCTTTCAGTATCTTTCTCACAGATCACTCTCCATGTTTGAACTGCATTTCCTTCCTTGAAGTGGACTTTGCTCCAAGAATTGTGTTGGTGGACTCATCGTACGATTGTGACGTGGATGGGATGAACACAACGACTTTTCTGAATGTCAAACAACCTGATAAGAAAAAATACAAAACTGAACTGCTTTAGTATACAAACGGCTCAAACAAATGACAG